ATTTTGTTGTACTGCATGACTAGTTTGTATGCAGTGGTATTTCATCAGTGCATTGAAAATCTAGAACACAACAACAAGCAACAAACTGTATTGGCAACTAATAATTTTTAACTGCTCTGTGTGAGATCACACCTGGTTCTTAATTTAATTTTTCTACTTCTCATAGGTTAGATTAAAGGGTATATACTACAATGGATCCTAGTTATTGTTTCTGTTACTAATCTAGTTTCTTAGAGTTATTTGAGTAGAGGAATGAATACCTAATTTTTTTCCTTTGTGAGTACAGACAAATATAGACATTTTTCTGAATGTGTCAGAAAAAATGTCTTTCTAATTTTATTCTTGGTAGCATTGCTTGGTCATTTCATCTGTACTTCGTTTTTTTCAGAGCCCTACTTGTGGCATATTTTTAGTGTGTGGTGTTTTGGGAGATTACCAGGAAAAGTTGGTATCGAAATGAAACTTGATCAGGCTGCCGTGAAACTTGGAATTTTCCAAGCCTGAAAGAGGGAACTGAATTGTGCAAAATACTGGTCCCTAATTTTTGCTGAACTGTAGAAACTGCATGGAATAAAAGGTACTCTGCAGAAAATATCCTGCTTTCCTTTTCCCAGCAGCTCTTATTTTTACTCTGTAATTTAATTTTGTCTGGGAGCAGTGGCAAAGGATCTTGCAGGCAGTGTTTGCAAGTTGCAAATTGTGGATTATGAGCTACCGGTGTAGAAAATAAGGTTAAAGTTGTTTGCTTAGCTGAAGAATTTGTGAAACGAAGCTTTTATCAGTTATTGATTACTGAGGAGGTTGTCCTGATAAGGGGTGTTACTGCTTTCATTGGTGATCTTACATAAAGGGAGCTTCAAAATTAAGGCCTAGAGTTTTGGAGGTGCTTGTGTACACTCTGAGTTTATGCCGTTGTGGAAGGGTTCTAAGGCCAGGCAGAATAAATAATAATTAGCCTTACTCAGTTATTGTTGTTCCAGCTGTCTGCGTAAAAGCTCTTCATGTCCTGAACGTGAAAAAACAAGCACAAAACCCTATGACTTGCCAAGGTCAAACAGAGTCTGTGGAGAGATGGAAATAGAATTGCTGTCTCCTGCCTCTGTTCTTGTACTTGGTGTAGTTATGGGCTGTTTGCTGGGTTTTCACAGGTGACATCATGTTGTCTCTCCCAGCTGCGGCCGTGAAAGCTGGTCAGGAGAAATCAGACTTCCTTAGGTTTTTCATCTGCATAACAGAAAGGTATGGTAAAGAAGCCTTGAGTGACTGTATTAATCATTAATGCATTTTGGTTATAGTGAGCAATTTTCGAGTGGGCACTAGAGAGATGCTGCTCTTACATAACTGAGACAGATGCAATGGTTAGGGCATGACCAGTAAATAAATGTGCCATGTAATAAAATGAAGTGATGCTGCAGTGTGCTATTGCCATGTCTTTATACTGTGGGAGAAATTACTCTGTACAGGTACTTATTTTCAAAATTGAAAATATTTCACTACTTTCCAAATCTGCCACTCAGGTCTGGTTTCAGTGGTGAGTGTCAGAATTCAGAAAAGAAAAGGCTTTGGTGAAAGACTGCTGTTATTCTACATGTGTGTGCTTCTTTTCATCCTTAGATTTGTAGTAGATATACAGTGACTAGTAAAATCCGCAATAATATAATATCTTCCAGAAGTTATGGAGATATGTCAAAACTATTTTGGATATGTGTTTTTGTCCAAATATTTTCTGGCCGAATTATTTTCTTCTGCTGTTCAGTACTTCTTTGTCAGCATTGAGTCCTGGGGTGTTGTTGGTTTAGTGTAGTTTGTTGGGGGTTTGGTTTGGTTTTTGGTTGGTTGCTTGGGATTTTGTTTGTGGTTTTTTTGTTTGTTTTTTAAATTTTCCTTTGCATTCTAGTTTTTTTTTCATTTACTATTGCATGGTTGGTGTTGCTTTTCATGTTTTGTTTATGTGTGCATTACAAGTTTCTCACTAGTAAGTCACAGAGCAGTTAATCAAAATAAGTATTTGGGATTAGGCTTCCTTTTTGAAAGAGGCTTGTAGCACACTTGATGTGTTGTGACTGTTTTAGTCACAACACGTGATACAGAGATAGAATTCTGATCACGATATAAAAGTTCAAGGGATCTTTGTATAAGTACTAAATTTACAGGAGTGCCCTCCTCTGTTTATTGTTTTGCTGTTCATTACTGAGGTGTCTCTTAGTTTGTCTGTTAGAGTGATAGAAGAATGTGTTAAGTAGAGAGAAAAAACAGGTAGTTCTCTAGGGCTAAAGCAATTTTTTTGCTCTAAGCAGGAAAGGCACGAAAACCTATTCTGATAATCTATTTTAATTAATAATATAGATGTTGGCCAGGCTCATGTTCAGTTTTGATAATACAGTAAACAAGATTAGTGTTCCCAGTGCTTACGTTTAGATAGCAGGACTCTCAAAATACCAAGAACTGTGTTAAAATAAATGTGAGAACTATGCCAAAACAAACATCAGAACTTTCTGCCTGTTTTTTTTTTTTTTTTTTTTTTTGCAATGGGCAAAATACCTGTATTTCACAACAGTTAGGAGGCAAAACAAAGGAGTCGTTATGAAACAGTGCTTAAAAAAGGTTTTACTGAGTTTTACTCCCAATCAGCTTGTTGAAGTGATAAATCATACTTCAGATGATAGCAAAGGAAAAGTAGACCACGCCTTTACAGTCATTTGTGATTGTTAAAGACTACTAGAAAGTATAGGGCGGCTCTTTTTACTGGATCCCTTGTGCTATAAGGGTAATAATCATTCTTTTTGACTGGCTGCATCTGCGTGTAGCTTTTGAGACTGCAGTAAACAAAAGGTGACCTCAGAAGATACCCTGAAGGTACCCTGTCTTGAGAGCAAGAGAGTTTGAAGCCAGTCCTTAAGTGAGTGTTCCTTGAACGTAGCCTGAATTTCCATATGGAAATAAAATATAGAAGAAAAGCTCTAGGCATATCCCTTGTTTTTCCAGTGTTTCTGGGTTCCGTGACATTTCTGGAAAAACTTTTTTTTTTATTGATAAATTCTTAGTAAATAATTAGAAAAACCGAACTGACCTTACTGCCTTAATGTCTTGCCATATTGCTGGATGGCACTTAGAGTTAGCAGTAGACTGGTTAGACTTGTCAGTTTGCATAGTCATGAAAGTAGTATTGCATCAGGTTAAATTTAAAAGTTTATCTTTTTCAGTTTGACTAGTTAGTTCTCGAAAAAAAAAAAAAACAAACCAAAAGCAACAGACCTATGTTTGCCAGAAGGTATTAGGCAGTGATGAATATTTTATCTGTAGAGATAAGAGACTTCTTCACTCACTGAAAGTTTTCCTCTGTCCTTTGGATTCAAATTGTGGATATCGTTATTGGAAGTACTCAGCAGATTTTACTCGTGGCACTTCTGATATTTTCTTTGTTGTGTTCAGTATTCTCATACCTAATGGCCCTGATTGTAGAAGAGTTTTTTCAGTAATGATACTACATCTTTTAAGATGAAAAATGCTTTTCTGCCATTGTACAAATTGTAATCCTAGCTAATATTTTTTCTTTTTTTGTTTTGACATTAGTTGATAAACATTTATAGTCACTGCTTGACATTCCTTTCCTCTCATTCTGGTTTATATCTGGTCAATTCTGCTTCTTTTTGTTACATGTAAAGTATATTGAAATAATGTATTGTATTTTGTTTAGTCGTTTTCAATTGTGTTCTCTCCTGAATTTTGTGAGCAGCTCTCAATTAGTTTTGCTTCTGGATCTCCTTTTTATTATTATTCTCTTTAATTATTTTTAATGGAGTAGCACACCAGAGTACTTTCCTTGTTTTCTTTTCTGTGAAGCTTCTGTGTAAGCCCCATTGTCTTTGTTCCTGGGCAATCCATGTTCACCTGTATTTGTCCAGAGCAGTACTTTCAGACTACTTCCCAAAAGTGTTCCTTTTTTTCCTCTAAATATTGCTGTTACTAGCCCTAAGACTTGTGATGTACTTAGAGCATCTCCACAACCACTATCTACAGAGCAAGGAAGTCACTGCTGTTACTCAGCTAGTGTGATAATCTAACAACTGTATGTTTTAAATCAAGTCCAAACCCTGTTCCTTACTTTTGGGAACTTGAAACTTTGCCTTGTCAGTGTCTTGGATCATGAGAAGGGATGTCTAATAAGCACTTGTATGCGACTTGTCTTCCAAGAACTGATGAGGATTGGAGAGAAAATAAAATCTGAAGAATTCAAGAACCTGAGATATCTCATGTAACAGAAGACTAAACATTGATACAGAGAGAGAACCGTAAAACTTAAGTCATATTGATAAAGCCAGAGAAAAATCTGGTGTTACTATTGTGAAGGCAGGAAATATATTTTGGAGGGGGAACACATAGTGAAGGATCACCTTTTTTTGGAGGAGTTTTGTTTTTTACTTTTACCACCCTTCCTTCTTTTGAAATGTTTCAGTCTTCTTCGTGTATGGGAAGCAACTACTATTTTTTTTATCCTTCTGCTGCTCCAAAGAGAATGGATAAAATAGAACTTTAAATGAATACAGACTGCAGTCTGTTGCTAGTGGATTTGTAGGATGTATATTGAAAGCTGTGAAGAAGCAGGACACTTTGTTCTTACTAACCTGGTGTATTTCTAAAGCAACAAAACAGGGAGAAAGAATTGTTTTTGAAGTGATGAAAGCAAACAAAGTAAAGCTGAGACCAGGTTAAATTCTGTAAATAAGCATTGCCCAAAAAGTGGGGGAGGGGAGGTGTCTGTGTATGTAGATACACTTAAAAGTGATTGTTGCACAGCTTTAATATACAGCTTGGATTTATATTTACTATACACACAGTATCTTCTAGCATAAGATGGTTTAAAAGAGCATGTGTGATGTTCTGCATGAAATTGTAACTTTTCTTTTTGCCTGGTTCAGTGATTGAATGCAAGCATTTGATTTGCTTTTCTTAATGTCTTTTCAGAATTGTAGAGAAATGGTATCATACTGGGGTGTCTGTTCTTGCTTCAAGAAAGAAATGTATTTGAAAGCTTACTATACAGATACTCTGGAAGTAGATGTGTAACAATAGTGCACTTTTTCTTCCAACAGTGAGCCTCAGTTTACTTTTCCTGGTTAAACAGATCATGTAGGCCTTTGTCTAAAACATTTTTCCAACTTCATTTTGAAACAAAATTTGGAAAGTCAAACAGGCATATCCTTTGAATGTCAGAATTTAAAAATTGTTCCAGCCTGTGAGGCTGGTGTGTGCAACCTTGCTCCTTTGGTTAAACGTTTTTTCCTTTGGTGAAAGGAATCTTCAAACTGTCTTGCAACACTGCTCCGTAGTTGGAGGAAGAGGAAGCAAACACCACTTAAGCATTGTCCCAAATCACCATTGCTCTTTCAGTCTGTGGCGTCTTCCTTTTTTTCAGCTGCTTTCTTAATTTCTTTCTTGGAAGCCAAAAGTAGCTTCATGCAGTTTTCCTAAGAGTTGAGTTATTTATCATCTTCTCCTTTGCCAAATAATCTGTAATGGAATCCACTACTTTTTCTCTGCCTGAGGCTGTTTATTGCATTGTCCACTTGCTTTTGACTTTCTGTCTCAGTCCTTTTGATTGCTTATTCTGTCTGTTTTCTGCAGTGTTGTAGTTAATTGTAGCTGTTAGAAACATCTTGAGGACTGTAAGTTCAAAGAGCCTTAGGTCTTGGCACAGTGTCCTTCCTGTAGGTAACCTGTACTCACCTGTCACTCAAGCTGCTTGCAAGCTGTTGGGTGGCATGCAGGTCCAGGGAGCCCTTTTAACAGGATTGTAGTATACCTTAAAGGGTGGACTCTAGTTTTCATTATCAAACCAGCAGGATAACCGGAGCTCTCTATATTCCCTGTGTTTTGGGAAGAATGGTGTACTGAATCTTGAGTATACTTCAGGTTTGGACCAAGGTGTGCTGGTGTGGCCATCCAGATCTTATAACTAGCAATAGGATCATAGTTGAAAAGTTGTTGGGTGCCTGTCATGGCATTGTTTGTGCAGTTAATGAAGATTTATTTCCTAAAGGGCGTTGTGCTTTGTAGTTGCTAGTCTCTTGGGGAAAACTGGAAAATCGTTTCCTTTTTAAAAACACACAGAAAACTCACTTGATTCAGAAAACTCCATAGCACCACTCCTTTGCTGCCCTTCTCTTCCCCCAAAAATTACTAGTAGAGATTTATTGTGATTTCCCTTAAAGTTTGTGGTTAATTTTATTAAGAAGCATTTGTATTATCATGCCACACTTGCCAGCTGGTTTCAGCTTCAGACAGCAGTGAGATTCTGTCACAGCACTTTGGTCAGCTGTGAGCATCTGTGGCTGCTGAGCTATGATTTGCAGGCTTTTCCAGTGTCACTGCAGTATGAGCCTGGATTTACTGATCTGTTAAAACTGAATTTTAATTCTGGGGTGGGACGACTCTTTGAGCCTGATCATATTGATGATGTGAAGTTGCCTTGGGATTTCCTTGCACTGAACTGAAAATAGTCACAGACAGGAGAATGCTCGGGGAGGTGCCATTTAGGCTTAAATGGTTCTTACTCTTCTTCATCTGTCCATTAATCCTGCTGCTGGAAATGGAGAAATGCATTGCTGGAGCCTTGGCCCGAATAACCTGTGCATCCTCTAGCAGTGGGAGCAAAAGGCTCTGCACCCCTTGGTGGATTTTCTTAACTGTCCTTCTTTCTCATCTTTGCCTCACTTCGTAATAGCAAAAGGGAATGGAAAGGAATGGATGGATGCTGGTCTGGGGAACAGAATGAATTCTCTGAAGGTAGATAATGATGTATGTATAGGTGTGTGTGCAGTCAATTGTCTCTTGAATTTTCTACTGCTGCAAAGACACTGAAGAAATTTTGGAAGTGGGAAAAGTAGATTTTGCTGTCTCAGTGTTAATGTTTTTATCTGCTTCTTTATGTTTTTATTTATTGGGGTATGGAAACATTGAGTGGCTTCTGGGTTTTACACATGTTCTTTTTTTTAGCTGTAGAGAAGTTATTTCTCCCCCCCCAAGGGAGTTTCCTGTGTGTATGGAAAAATAAAAAACAGAAGTGAAAAATACTTCAGGCTTCCAAACCTGTCACTCACGTTTCACTTCTCCCACTACCTTTCTCGTCATACAAGTAGTCCAGCAGTCCTTCCCCTACCCCATAGCAATGCCATCCATCTACAAAGCTAGACAATGTCATAGCAAATATGGTAGCTAACTTGGCACACCAAATTATTGCAACAACCTGTGAACCACTGGGGAAAAAAAAATTACACAGTGTTACACTTTTCTGGTGTTTATCTTTAACTTGCCAGAATGTTTTATTAGGCTTTTTTCAGGCTAGTAAATATAACATAACTTTGATACCTTTTCCAAGATGTTTATAGGTATAAATAAACTCATTATGCAACTCATGGGCTTGTTTTGTTTAAAAATCCACTTAAGGCAGGGGCCCTAAAATTGTGTGTAACTCAATAGTTAAGTTGCATTTCATAATGTGTTGGTGTCATTAGAAATTCTGGACACTCTCTGTTTGCAATCTGACTATAGAGCAAATGGTTTCTTTATTTCTTATGCCTTAGTGAGCAGTGTATAGATAACATACTGTATTGAATATGAATGTTGTCTTTATTTAATCTTTCCCACAACCATGTAAGATAATTTAAGCAGTTTAAAACTCATATTCTGAATTTTCTTCATTTGTTTAGGCTGCATTTTGTGTGTTCTCTTGTCATGGAACAGGTTTGTGGGTTTTTAGCCTCTTAAGTTGTTCTATAAATGGTAGGACTGAAGAACCTCTGTATCCTGTATACTTGTGCCTTGTATGGTAAGGACAGTTTACTGGACAATACCATGAACTCCTTCATCCCTAATGGGCAAAGTGCATTGGCAGTAGATCTCTAAGGCATAAGCTTATTGTCTAGCCAAATGGCATATGCAAAGTGATCAGCTGTGAAACAGTTATTTCCAAATTCTGCTTCATCTTTTTTGATGACACTGGAAATGTCTATCCAGCTTCCAGTTTTCATAAAGCTCATAGCAACTTAATTTTCTTTAAAAGCTCTTTTCTTCTTTTTAAACTTAGTTAAAACTGATTTATGGGCTTCTACATTATTGCAAGGATGCCTAATCAATTTATTAATTGTACTAATACAGTACTAAGCCTGCTCTGTGGACAGAGTATGCCATATTTTCCAGAATGCATTAATGCCTTGAAGAAAATATACCGTTTTTCTAAAATGATGAATTCTAAGTGTTACCGTTTAATATAGGTTATCCCTCGATTTTCTGTCAGATGAGACTTTTTTTCTTCATTTATCTTGGCTGCGTGGCTATCTGCATATTTTCATTCCATAGTTCAGGTTATCTCTCTGATTGTTGAACTTTAATGATTGCATGTGTCAATTTTTTCTTTTGTTTTGGAGAGTTCAGTCTGCTCTGTTTGAGGCAGCAGTGGGCAGAAATTTCAGGAAGGAGATCTCTCTATAGACTGGCATGTTCCACATAGTACATACTTGGTCGTCATGTGTTCGTAGTCATTTTTAGCTGGTCAAGGTACATTTGACAGGGGTGGTAGCTGCTAATTGAAATGACAAATTTGGTTGTTTAGTGCTTCAAGGTACTTGTGGCAATTTACATTCCCTTCTGGCCTGAATGTACTTGGAAGGATGAGACAGTGTTTTGAAAAGAGGTTGGGTTTGGAGCTCAGCAGTTGGGAGCCTTCACAACACTGCTTAGGCACGCTTTTCATGCTGTAAAATCCTTGCAAAAAATTGTGCCAGCACAGGCGTTATTCTGGGAAACTTGTGTTGTAGTAGTCACAGGTTCAAGATCAGAAGTTAAGTGCTGTTGGGTAATTTTTTTTTTAAATACTGGTTCCATAAATACTTAGAATACCTTTGTTAAGTAAAGTTTGTCTCAAAAAAAATTTCTTGTTTTCAAATTGGCTTCATGGTTTATAGTGTACCTCATTAAGATGCAGGGAGAAGTTTTACCAGTAATTTGCATCCGTGTGGAGTTTAAACTTGACAAACCTGAAAAGCAAGCCTCCTTAAATTAAGTATGATTCACCCAATTTCCATTTTAAAAAATGGACAATAATAACTGCTTTGCATTTGTGCTCTTCAGATATTTTCCTTATGAAAAATGCTGCGTAAAAGCTGTTAGGGCACAGTAGGAGCATGTTTGACTATGTAAGAGAACTGTAATACTATAATACCAGAAAAAAGGATGATAAGGTGTTAGCTTGCTGACATTCCAGCCATGTAATCTAATCTTTTCATATGGTTATTGTAAATGTACTGTGATAAGGAGGAGTAAAAGTTTATTATTGGAGTGTCTGTTTAATTATCTTGTACAGGAATCATTGACCCAGTTACCATAACAGTAGTTAAAAGTATTATCATACTTGATGGTAGGCATTGTGGAGATTATATTTCTCTAGCAATTTATTTCTAAATACTTTACTTTTACAATTATTACTAGCAATAATTAGAAGGAGCTTCTAGCATATAAATTTTAACAGAAATATAGTTTTTGTTGTACTTATCCTATTTTTGTCTCTCCTTTAAGTCAAGTATTTTTTTAAATGGCAATATTTCCTGTGTCTTTCCTGTGTTGGAATGCTCTATTGATTATATATATTGCTGTAGTTGCAGTATAATTTAATATCTTAGAATTTATCTGTAAATTAATTCAACAACAGTGACAAAAAGAGTCCAAAGCTTTCAAATCTTTTAAAACAACTGTTTTTCTTAAAATACAGGTTTGTAAACTGTAGATGGAATGTTACCTAATTTTGCTGTCTCTGCAAGTTATGTGACTTAAAAGATTTAAGAATAATTTACTTGTATTAAATACTTCCCAGATCTTCAGCACAATCATAGGGGAAAAGCCTAACAGTGGGGAATGGCCTCCAACTGATTTAGTAGTGCTAGAAAGTTGAAAAAGAGCCTTCTAATTCTTATTCTTTTCTGGGATGTGTTTATTGCTGCTGTTTTTATATTCATGGGATGATGTATTCATAAGCTTAATTATGAAACAATACACTTGAGATTGATTAATTCTAGGATACTGACAGCTCATTTTGCAACTGTGCCCAGTTAATGTTAGTGTAACCATGTAATTCCTGGGTGATGCAAGAAAACATCTGATATCTAGGAAACCCTATAATTTTGTAACACAGGTTGGTGCCAAATACAGATTTGTTGAAAGGTATATGTATGCACAGGTTTTGTGTCATCATTTTAATCTACTGAGGAGATAAATTTTATTTACTAATTTGGAAATTACTGTTTGCATGGCAACCTTCTTAGATGCCGATATTCTATTCTCTGCTTGCATACTGATACAACTTTTGAATTGTTTTACAAATCTAGGATCAGTGGGTGGCACGTAGTTCAGAGAAATAAGCTTATAGAACTCTAGCAGTTTACTTTTGTTGAATATAAGGAGCTGCTTCCATAGTGCATTTTGAAGGCTCACAGTATAGAAGTTGGAGGAAGAAAGGGAATGAAAGGAGAGGATGCATACTGTAATAATACTGTGTTTTAAAAAAAAGAAAAAATATATAATGTATAAAAACTTTGACTGAAAGTGACTGAGTTGCTGGAGGAAGGAGATGATAGGGAATTGTCCCCATTTCTTAGAGGTGTTTTGTGGAAGTGTGAAATTACAGTAAAGATATTCAAAAAGGTCTCTTGAAACTTGCTTTGGAGGTCTAGGCACTGCTGTCAGAGCTTGCAGTTGCTAAAACAAGACCAGTTAAGGCAGTGTATGAGTTGGGTTTTGTTGGCTTTCTGCTATTATTATTAACAAATTATTAATTATTATTATTATTTACAATAATATTAAGTGGGTCTAAATTGAAGGTAGAGGTGCACCACATTTCTAACTGCCCTGCTACTCAAGTAGGTGGTCACATTCTCCTGAGTGTGCCTGTTGATTGCAGTGAGATGGTGCTGGCATTCACTGGGTTTGTGACTGAATCAATAAAGTCCCCTGTCCCCTTTCCCCTCTGGCTTCCCCAAAAAGATGGGTTTTTTTCTGGGTTACTGATTTGAATTTATCTGTGGAAAGGTCTGATAAGTGCTGGAATTTGGTGTTTGAGGGTAGGTCAGTGCAGCTGGGGGTAGCTGGCAGGCAAGACCTGTTTGGCAGTGACAAATCAGCTCAGCTGCCTCTGAAGCCACAGTCCCACTGTGAACTGGAGCAGCTGTCATACAGTCACGTTTACTTGCCCTGGCCTAGCAGAGAGGTAGGAAAGGCATTTGAGACAGTGGTGACTTAAACTGTCACAGCAAGACTTGTCAGAGTTGGTCGGCTTAAACCTTAGAGATGTCAGTTTACTTAGCTGTCACTTTGTATTAAGTTCTGACTGCACTTGGAGTGAGAGTCTTATAGGTATCCTAAGCTAAACTTTGACTGGGGATGTTAGTTTCTTGGTAAGATCTTTTAATTTTGCTTAAGGCTTGCATTTTGCAAGTCATTTTCCATACTGAATTCCTCTGTGTTTTCTTGAATTATGGTTATTTCCCATGAGAGTTACAGGCTTGCTTAGCTGCTTCTGTAATCTTTTTTGACTTCTGTTGAAGTTGAGATTGCTGAGGTGACCAAATAGCTTTCTGCAATCAACATGACTGGTTTCCCTGTCTCCTGCTTCCCCATGTATTAGTGGTGTGCCAGATTGATGGACTGAGCTCCTTTTGAAGGTCTGAGCACTGCAGGTGGTGCCTGGGGAGCGAGTTGAGGAGCTTGGAGCAGGGACAGTAAGCCCCTTAGAGACAGATTAGGCCATTCTCCTTGTTTTTCTGCTCATAGGAAGCAGTTGCTGTAGCAATAAAGCTCCTTTGTTTATGAGAGTATAGGGTAAGGAAAAGGACATGGAAGAGTATCCTATTACTTTATTAGCAAGAGATTTTGAAGCTGATCAAGGACTGTCCCCATCAAGAACTTGTTATCTCTTCAAGAGGTGTTCTAAAGAATTACCTATTTTCCTTTATGGTTAGTGAGGTTAGTCTGGCTTTTTGAGAATCTTCTGCCTCTGCAAGTTCAGTATGGTTCTTTACCACTTCCTTAAAAATCATTCACTTCTGTTATATATTTTTGGTAGTACATTGAATGGTGGTGGTTCAAAGAAAACCATGAACCTTAACTTTTTGTCCTTCTTTTTATTCGCTTTTTTAAAAAGTTATTTTCTGCACAGACTGTCAGTGCTTTTCTTCCAGTTAAGGATGGAAATTATATTTACAGAGGAGAAACTGTTCTTTAAACACTGCAGACATTCAGTCACTGAAATGAAGGTTGAACAAATCCTTAGGTACTATACTGTAGTGCTGGGTTCCTATATATGCAGGAAAGTGGTTGGCAGAGTTTCCTCTTATATCTAATCTGTGACTTTTTTTAAGTAATTGGGCAACAGATTCTGTTCCTGCCATATTTAGAAATTTAATTTTTTGTAAGGTAACTGCTTGTTTTTTAAGGACTTACTGATACTTAAATTATGGTTTAATAGGGGATATCTAATCAGTTTCTTAGGAAATAAAAGTAATTGCTTGTGAAGTATGTATTCAAAGGTGATGTGCAAGGTGAGATCCTGAGGAAAATTTGCTGTGTCAGATGGACAAGAAGAGTTCTAATAATCAGAAGCCGAGCAAAATCATTGTCAATGAAAGCTGTGACTGTGAGATATTTTGTGTAGAATCATGCTCCAGATTGACTTTGTGTCAACATTACTTTAATAGTCAATTTTGTGAACTATGTGCAGATTTTTCCAGGTATCCACTCTCTTTTGTTTTGAATGGATGAAGATTAAATTGATGAGTGCATTCCCTATGTAGTTAAAATAGCTGAGCCAAATTTATACTGTGTTTTAGGGACTGAGATTTTATTGGCATGCTGATTTTCAAGGTGATAACGTGTTCAGTTGCTAACGACGTGTGTCTAAGTCTGTAGTTTCCACTAAACATTTGAGCCAATGTTATTAGGCAATTAATAAAAAAGAAATAATAGCATCTGAATATAAAGGAATCATAATAAAATGGGTAATGTTTTACTATGTTTCTTGCATTCTGTACCACTCCAACATTTTAATGGCTTTATCCTTTAAGTTCGTAGTATCTAAGTTCTTTAGTGTACCTGAGGTCTTTGGATTACTAGCTCCTTGCTGCAGATACCTACAGCTAAAAGCAAAAGCAGAGAAAACACGTCTCTGGGTGTATGTTTAGGCACTTCCTCATTAAACAAGCTATCATTACTGACTTCCTTGCCTCACTTAGTGTGGCAGAGTTGTGGGAATGCTGTCTTGATTAAAATTGTGTCCTGTTTGGACAAGACCTTTGACTTTTAGAGTCACATACAAGTATAGTGATTACTGCATAAAGTTTTTTCCAAACCTAGGTAGACTGCTATAAAAAAGTGAATTTGTTTACTTTCTAGAAATTGTTTAAAAGTGAGCCTGCTTACTGATACAGTGCAAGCTTTATTTAAATTGCAGCTGTGGTTCTGTGATTTTATGGGGATTGGAAGAGAGAAGACAATAATGAAAGGAGTGTGGGAGTATGAAAGCAGGTCAGAAAAGGGAGAGGGAGTTTCTAATTGAACCAGTGACTTGCAGTGAGAGGGCGTGACTAAGTGAAGCAGAGCTTTTTCTATTGTATTTTTGTCAGTATTATTTGATATAGTGCCAAAAGTGTGTACGGTGCTGTAGAGTAGACGACTTGTTTCAAACACATAACATGCTCCCTGTGTTGGAGAACTTAAATTCTTTAAGTATAGTCAAGGGCAGTACAGAATCATGCAGTACAAAGATGTGATAGTGAATGGTTGGTGGCATTCACCCTGGAGCAGGTGGGTCTTTTTTTGTTGTTGTTGTTGAAGAGGGGGAATGTTTTGTGTATTGATCAAAAACTTTCTGGTTTTGTAATTTCAGGGGCTGCTGTGCCCCCTGCTTCCAAAGAGTCACAGTGCAGTTGGACCACCCATCATTCACTCTTTGCAGAGGAGAAAGGGACTTTAGGAGTAGTAGAAATCCATTGTTCATATCCGTTAGACATTCTTGATTAGTGTAGTTTTAATTAATTTTATCTCCTTTTGTAGGATGGATGAGAAAGAGGGTACCTTGTGTCAGTGTTTCAAAGCAAGTTGGCTGAGATTGGTTCTTTGTATGTGAATATGAAAACTGTATTTATTTTTAAAAATGGGTTAGCTTTTAATTCAGCTCTAACCTTCAGGATTGTCATTATAGCAATATTTGTTAACAGTATTTTTGTTACAGTAGACACTCTAATGAGAGTCAGGGCCAAAGTGTTGCTGGCAGGCAAAAGTGAGAGTGAGTTGATGACTGCATGTGACTGTGTTAGTGCATGTGTTGATCCTGAAGGATGAGCCAGCCTGTGATGGGTGAGCTGGAATCTGTCAGTCAATTTGTTGACTTCATCAGCCTCAGGAGGATCACACTTATGGACATAATTGTGTCAGGAGGGAGCAACAGGGGGAGATAGGTGCCATTTCTTCACCAGTTTCTGTACCTCAGCTGTGTGATATTATAGAAGAACACGGCAACAGAGTACTTAGGGTGTGAGTAGTATGAGGATTTGAAGACTGCTTACTCTGTGATGCTGTGCAGATCGTTAGGAGCACGGGGTATGCTGGGTCACATTAGATTGTCTGGCATTAAATGACAATAACCTACAAAAATCAGTGGAGGGCAAAACCCCAAAAACCTGTGGAGCATGGAGGGGGAATTGCCTGAGAAATGTTGATCTGCTCAGAACTTTGTGAAGAATTAAGGTTATGTGAGATTGGCTGTGGAGTATAGAGTGGGTAAGAATTACTTCATCATCTGTCCTTTCTTTTGACAATATTAGCTTGTTTATTTTAGTTCTTTAGTTTGTTTTTCCAGTGTGGAGGTTGTTTAGTGTGGGATTTTACTGGTAATACAACTGGTTTCTGTTTCCCATAATCAGACTTGTGTATATTGAACCCATTTTTGTTTTGGAGAAGATAAAATTTTCCTTCTGAAGGCTTTGTTTTAGTCACTGGTACGGTTCATGTATTCAATATCTTCATCCATGGAGAAGATCAGTGTGAAATGTTCTGTTTGAGTATAGGTAATTGCTTGTGTTTACTTCCCTGTTAGCTGAATTCTTATATGCGATTATATATCTTTTGCATTGATCTCTTAGAAATTGTGTCCTTGAGGTGTTTTGACTTTTTAATCATGTGTAAAACCTGTAGATCATGACTTTTTTGAGCTCTGCATTTTCAGCATTGACATATCATAACAGTGTGCAATTTTCAGATTCATTTAAAAATAAAGGATATCAGTGTGGAATAAAATGCACTTATAGAAATCAAATGCAGCAGTTATCTCCAACAGGAAACATGTTTAAAGTGATGTGGATCCAAGCACTGTATGAAATGAAATGTGGTGGTCTTTATATGCCAGCTCATGCTGGATCATAAATGGCTCTTTTTTTAATATGTAGGAATTCTCTTCGTGTCTGTGAAACCACCAGATGGGAAAATGTTTTCTAGTTACTGATGATAATTTCCCTTGGGAGTTGTGTTCTAGACTATGGTTGTATAGGTGAATGCACAGAAATATTTTCAGTATTTAAATCTTGATTTCACTGAAATCTGTGCACAGAAAAGTATAGCTATATTAACTGAATATCCTGTGTTTTAAAATGTACACCTACTTTTGCAGTTGATGTAACATGTTATCCTAAATGTAGAAATCTGCAAAACCAAAAGTGTGTACTGATGTGGAGTGGCCGTCTTACCATATAGGTTGTAGCATGCTGTTCAATCTGAAAGAAGTGTTTCTAGCAAATGCTAGATTAAGGGATCAGTCCTGAGAATTAATTAGTGTGCCCTGGACATGGACATTGTTGCATATGTTGGCTTGGATAATTTTAAGCATGTTAAAAGTCTATAAATATGAACTTTCTTCAGTGCTTCTTCAGTTCTTCACCAATTTGTCTGTGGTAAGCAAATTGAAGCTGGAAATGGGCAGAGGATAGACAGTTAAAAGAGAAAGTCCCAGCATGCTACTTAAATCCATCTCTTCCAGCTTTTCTCGGATGATGTCTGTTAGTGGCTGAAAAGGAATACTTTTATATTGATCCTCAGACTTTGAATGGAAGCCTGAGTATTTCACTTTACTGGATCTTAGATAACCTCAGTAGGCCAAGTAAACCCTTGATCTCATACTAGTGAGCTTGTAGTATAGTGAGTTTGTGGTGATGGATCACAGGGTAACTTGAAATTAGTTTTTTGAGAAGTATTTTCATTTCTCATGGTAGGAAGTAATAGAGCCTGTTACAGAAAGGTCTGATTATCTGGTGCTAAGAGCTGACCAAACACTTGACAGATTTTCTAGCTTTCTAGATATATAGAACTTATTTTAAAGCTGAGGGAGAATGATTAAAAAATACCTGTAAATTACTTCTCTTATTTTAATTTCTTTCTTTAAAAGGCTTTTGTCTGACTGTTGAGTCACAAACTCTTCTTGTTCGTTCACAAGTTAGGTGGCATTGTAAGAGGCCTAGGAAAAGGTTGCACCTGACAGTTGACACTGTTTTTAGAACTGTAGTTAAGTGAAGCACAGGAATTTAATTTGCTGCACTCCTGGCTGAAATACACTTAAAGAGCACTTGAAATGGCAGTATTTCTTCTTCCCCAGTCCTATCACATGTAATGGTTTGTGGGATACCAGCTATTTGATAGGTATTAGAAATGTTGGGACTTAACTTGAGCCTCTCACCAAACTTCATTGTCACTTCATATCGTTGGAGAGCAGAAGTTGGATTCTCTTCAGTTCTTTCTTTCTGAATTGCATAATGTAGTCTGAGATGTTGTCAAAGGCTATATAAAAATCTGGAGGTTTTTTATTAGACTCCTGCTTCAAGCATTGTTCCCCTTGGATCTCCTCTGAGGAAGTAAAAACTTGCCTTAATCACTCCATTCTATATTTAATTTCGATGTTTAATACTCTGGGTCTTACACTGCTTTAAATTAGTGATTGCCATATCTTATTTATCACAATGTTGAGACATTTGTGCTCTGGGATGGAACTGAAACCATTGAACTGAACAGTGTGAGGTAAGTTCCTTCCAGGCCAGTTTCTTTGTGAGACTTGTCTAGGGATTTTTTCCAAAATCCATATTGAGGTTTTATAGTCATCTCTTGTAGCTTATTAAAGAGTTCTTCTAACATGTCGTGCAGCAAATACTTTGATATATATTGTGATTTAAGAGGACTAATAAAGACTTGAGTTTGCTCTTCAGGAATGATGTTAGGCTTTGCTACATCAGTCAAAAGCACCAGCAAGTGAGTAGGTCCAGTGAAATGATCTATCAGTCAGGTGTTTGGGGGTGGAACTTTTTCAATGAATAGGCACTCTGTGCCTTTTTAAAATCTGACATGTGTTTCCCATGGAGAAAGCATCCATTTTTCTTTTCTCATTGTACTGGGTCTGGCTAGGATAGAGTTAATTTTCTTCATAGCAGCTGTTACGTTGCCATGTTCTTTGTGACCAGAACAGTTGATAACACACTGATATTTTAGCTCTTTCTGAACAGTGTTTGTACAACATGAAGGCCTTCTCTCTTTCTCACTGTGCCTGGTGTCTGTCCCTTCACAGTGATTGAGGAGGGTACAAGATGCTGGGAGGGATACAACTGGGCAGGTGACACAAGCAAACTAGGGAGGTATTCCATGCCATATAGTGTCATGCTCAATAAACTAGAGGGGGGTGGGATTTAGAGAGGTTACCCAGCATTTGCTTAGGAAGTGGCTTGGTATCGATTGTGGGTGGTGCTGAGTGGCCTGTTTCACTTTGTTTTTCTCTAATTCCACTTCTGCTTTTTATGGTAAACAGTTATATTACCTCAATATACAAGTTTTTTTTGCTCTTTATTCATGTTTTCTCTTCACCCATCTGATGGTGAGGAGAATTACACACCTGGATGGTTTAATTACTTATGGGCAGCGAAGCACCACATGATCTCTTCATCCTTTGTAAGACAGGAAGGAAATAGAGATCTCAACACATGGATATTTGTTTTGAAAGGAGCCTCTAAAGGTCATGGAGTCCAAATACCCTGCTATGACCAGGGATGTCTTCAGTCAGATCAGGTTGCTCAGAACCCTGTCCAATGAATGTTTCCAAGGATGGGGCATCTACCACCTTTCTGGGCAGCCTGCTTTTGGATATTGTGCTTTTGGATTCTTCAGGGTAAGCAAAGTATTTACTTTGATTTTCAGTGTTGAAATTGTTAAGAACCCAGGGAAACTGCTGTTGCAAAATGTTGACACAGAAAACAGTAACTGTAGTATATTTTTACTACACTTTGTATATTCTGGAGTTAAATCTGAATGTTTTGCCTTGCCACAGATTTTTCTGGTGCCCCATTTGCCATAGTGGTCTCAGGTCCATGTTTTTAATTTAGCAAGTCTTAGTTTGCAGCTCATGTCTTCCCATTCCTAGTCCGCGCTGTTTCTGCTGCTCCCCCATGTTGGCCTCTCCAACTCGATTGCTTTCTGCTCAGCTGTTGTTACTGCTGTAGTCAAATTTGACAACTCCCTTTTGCATTTTGCTTCTCTGGAGACCATTTACAGAAAGATCTATGCTATTCTGACTAGATGCCAAAAATTGTGTCAATCCATAGGCCAAGTGAAGATACAATACCTAATTGCTGAAGTTTGTCTCTATTTGTGTATTGTGGAATTTTTTTTTTTTTTAAGGCTTCTGTACTCAGTACATAAAGGTGAATGGTCTTTCTCAGGGAGTGTTAAAATGATGTTCTTGGCTGAAGACCAGTACCGGAAAAATTTGAAGTTCA